GGGACATAGTGAGATTGCACGGGGTCCCAGTGACGATCATCTCAGATAGAGATCCTCCGGGGAGTGGTTCCATTTCTTGGGAGACCGTGTTGGTAGTGTTTTGCCACCGGGGTATGATTCGCGAGGGCGGAGTGAGCTTAGTGGTCTACTTGCTAGCTTCATGAGTAGTGAGTGTGATGAGACCCAGACTGTGTTACCGAGGGTGGTTTGTGAGTACTCGGATGTTTTTCCCGAAGACCTTGTTAGTTTGCCACCTCACCGGGAGATTGAGTTCTCTATTGATCTAGTGCCCGGCACGGTGCCGATTTCTATGGCACCTTACCGTTTTGCTCCAACGGAGTTAGTTGAGTTAAAAGTTCAGCTCCAGGAATTGCTAGATAAGGGTTTTGTTCGCCCTAGTGTTTCGCTGTGTGGAGCACCGGCCCTCTTTGCTAAAAAGAAAGATGGTGCCTTGAGATTGTGTATCGACTACCGGAAGTTGAATCGGGCTACGGTCAAGAATAAGTACCCTATGCCCCGTATAGATGATTTGTTTGACCAGTTGAAGGGTTCCCGTTGTTTCTCTAAGACAGACTTGAGATCGAGTTACCACCAGTTGAGGGTCAGGGAGGAGGATATCCCGAAGACGGCATTCCATACGCGGTATGGCCATTATGAGTTTCTGGTGATGCCATTTGGGCTTACCAATGCACCGGTAGTCTTTATGGACTTGATGAACCGGATCTTCCGGGAATTCTTAGATCGCTTTGTGGTCGTTTTCGTGGACGACATTCTTATCTATTCGCCATCTGAGGGGGAGCACGAGGAACACTTTAGAGTGGTGCTTGAATTACTTAGAACCCATAGGCTGTACGTCAAGTTTGGGAAGTGTGAGTTCTGGCTAGGAGAAGTCAAGTTCTTAGGCCATGTGGTTTCCAAGGAACGGGTGTCTGTTGATACATCCAAGACTGAGGCAGTGCAGGATTGGGCACAGCCTAAGAGTGTGTTTGAGATCTGCAGTTTTCTGGGATTAGCTGGGTATTACCGCTGGCTTGTGAAGGATTTCTCCAGGTTAGCTTTGCCATTGACTAGACTGACTCGGAAGGGAGTCAAATTTGTGTGGAGTGAGACTTGTGAAAAGTCGTTCCAAGAACTGAAAGTTAGATTGACCACCACCATTGATTGTACATTATGCTGTATCCTAGCTGTTTAATCTGAAATTTGTGTTGGTATTGTTATTTGCTTAATGACTGGGACTATATAACAACTCTTTCTCCTTGTTTTGGACTCTTTTGTACTCAGGCCTCGGTTAGTGAACATGTGCAAGTATATGGGAATTAATCCTTATGGAACAGATGCATATTTGCGGTTTATGCTTCGAAAAAGATTGCAATGGTGAGATACATCTTCCTATTTTATGTAGGTTTACTATCATACCACCGTGAGTATGGGTGGCCTTTTTAATTTTATGGTGTAAAAGATCTGGGTGAGTTTGAACCCAGCTAAGATTGGGCTGTCTGGTCTATCTTCGTAAATCTCACGGCTTGTTTTGAGGTTGACTTGAACTTTTTGACATGCCTGTGCTCTAGTTTGAATTTATGACCTAGATGATTGATTTTTCCTTAACTTGGAAGAAAGATATTGTGGATTTATTCTGATAAATTGTAGTGTCCTTGGAATAGTTTAAGCCCCTTGAAATGAGACTTCTAGAATTCACAAAAGTTGTGCTAGAAAGTGGTGTGGGGCTGTAGAGGTTTGGATGAAACATGTACTTCTTGCTTCCCATTTCTTGCATGTTCATTGAATTTGCTGTCTATCAAGAGTTTTACTTTCTATTATGAATTGATATATTAGCTTTTTATTCAGGCACATGTACTGTTGAAGCAAAAGAACCTTGAGAAAGAAGAAGGTAGGTTTGTAAAAGTGACAATTTTTTTAATAACTAGTTACTGCTCTATATTTTTCATGCTTTAGGTGATACTGATAATAGGAGTGCTTCTCCTATTGTTTTTTTTTTTTGGCCCTACAGCTGTCCTCATTATGAATGGTCAAATTCGTGAAGAAAGGCAAGAAAAAACCGGGGAACTTTTGGAAGGGTCACAAGGAGCAAGCGACTCAAGGATGTCACAGATGTTGCCAGATTCTGAGGATGTTAACCAACTAGTTGGTGATCGCTTGCATGGGATGTCGAATGGTGTTACTTCCCTTGCATCTTTATTTAGAGAATCCATGGTGAAATTCTATTTGTCTTTGAAATCTCAAAGCCAAGTTCCACTAGTTGTAGTGATTACCCTTGTTATGATTCTTCTGTTGATGCAGGTAAATACTTCTTAACTTTCATGAGTATCTTTCCAATTTACATTCAGGGTAATTGGGTTAAGCTATTCTTTCATTTGAATTAGGAATTTGGTTCATTTTGCTTATGACGATAGTTGTTCTTATTATGGTTGAGGGGTGATCCATTTTTGGATTTCTTGTTAGAGACAATCCAAGATGTTTTACTGCTGAAGTGTTTATATAGTCTTAATTTATTCATTTGCGCCATTGTTGTTGTTCCATGGTAGTTATTTAAACCATCTTGCTAAATGATAGGGTATGTTTTCTGTTTTATCTCAACCATTACCTGCAAATTTGTTTAGGGGTTTGAATTTTGATTTTTCGTACAATGATGCAGGACTTAAATGGCATAGAGTAGTATGTTGATTTGTCATAGAATTCAATTTTAAAAATTTCTGTTGTTTAGTATTATGTTAAAAATTCAAGCCATTTACATATCAATATCAATTCAAAATTCAATTCTTCTTGTTTTTGAATAAATTTTGATGTGTTGGTTATATATTAATGTTGTGATATCAGTCTAGAAAGGAATTATCTTTGAAAGTTTTAGTATTCCTTTAATGCTATTATAAATTGATGGACATGACTGGATCATATTTGCAATGTGTGCAAGAAAGTCCATCTTGCCCCATAAGATAATATTTATTGGAAATTATTTTATCCTTGCTATTTGGAAATATACCTTGTTTAGACAGTGAAATATATTGAGGATGTCTTAGGAGTGCACTTGATGTAAATAGTCTTTCAATATTTTAATAATAAGTATTGCCATAATGCTAGAATAAGTTGTTGAACATGACTGGAAATCTGTGGTGTGTGCAAGAAAGTCCACTTGCCTCTTAGTTAATATTGATTGGAATTTAGTTTGTCCTTGCTGTTTGAAAATATACCTGGTTTAGTTTGGGGGTGAAGTATATTGAGGATGTCTTAAATATGTGCACACACGAAGAGTGTAACCCTTATATGTAGGGCAAAAATGAGCCGGGCCAAACCAATTAGTGGGTTCCTCATTAGTTTCAATGAATTCCTATTTCATTTGATCTTGGCTTGAGCTGGATTAGTTGGATTCTATCTAGTCCCAGAGCGCTTCTTAGCTTGTTAAGCTGAGTTCATGTTGAACTGAACAAATTAATGAGCTTCAAACGTGAGAACTACAAAAATAGTTAGAGAATATCTTAATATTTTTTAAGATATAGGCGAATATTCAAACTTAAACTCCTGATACTGGGTGCAATTTGATCAGGTTTAGAAGGTTTGTTTTATCAACCATATGTACTATTGTCTGAGTAGCTAATCCCGGAGAGAGTGAAACTTGAGACCTAAATATTTATATTTCAAGGATTACTAAGTTGCCACATGACTTGGGTTTTACTTTGGATAAGTCGTTTTGCATGTTTCACCATTTTTTGACCTTATAGTTAAGGGGCTCAAGCTTTCAACCTCACTGAAATTCCTGACATTTCATTTCATTGGCATTGCTCAAGGAAAAGTGCTTCTGCTTCCAGACTTTAAAAGGGTGCATCTGTTTTGTGCCCAAAATGCCAAAAATAAATGAGCAATTCTGTTCGCACATTATAAAAAATTTCAATATGCATCATTTGTGTCCAAACAAAAATAAATTCTTTAAATATATATTTTGTTTAATATATATCTGAATAATTATTTTTTATTCAGAAGTTTATTATAGAATATTTGACTTTTATTCTAAAATTTATGTTCGAATGACATAAATAGTATATATATTGAGATTTTTTGTACTGTGTGAATAAAATTTTTCAAAATAAATTTGTTTATCCACTTGATATATAGGTAAATATTAACCTACTATGTGAATGGTTTATTTTATTCAAATTCACTGTTTTCAGTGAGTTTAGATTGGTGTATTACAGTGAAAGAACCAATCACATAGGAAGGTGATGGTGAGTGAATAAAATTGGATTCTAAAATGTTTCACTCTCTTGCGATGAATAAAGAGAGAGGTGTGCGTCGGTCGGTTTGGTTAAATTTTGAGAAAATATATCAACTAAATTGCTCTTGGCAAATTGAGAATTTTCTAATATTTCATCGAACAATCCATCCTCAAAATTGGCGAATTAATTGAATATTTTGGCAATTTTAAACAACAATTTGAGCGGATTGGGTGGGTTTGAAATATATAATGGGAAGAACATCACTGAACATATAATTATAATATTTTTTTTCTAGTTTAAAACAAAATTATATTTCAACCAAAAATCCAAAAGTTCATCAAATATATTTAAAATTAATTTTCACAAATTAATATACCAAACAATCAAATTAATGGTATGCTATTAGGTTTGGGGATTGATTGTATTAGGATGAAGATAAAATAATTTCATACATAAATATATAAATAAGTTTGATCAGTTTATAAGTGAGTACATATGACAGCTGTGTTATTCCAAATACGAAATACACAAATGGAAGATAAAAATGTTCGTGTATCTGTACATTATGTACTTAAAACTTTTTGTGCACTCAAAATTTTTCTTAATAAATTCTTAAATTACATATCAATAAATTTAGGGTTTAATTCACTTTACCCCTTGGGATTTGGGGTTAGAGTACTTTACTCTCTTATCATTTAAATATAGCCGGAAAGGTCTTTTATGGTTTTAGATTAAAGTGCTATCTTTAATTTTTCCTCAAAACTAATAGAAAATGTATTATACACCATTTTTTAGAGTGAGTTTTGTTTTTTAAAAAATTAGAATAAAATTAATACAACAAAAGGATAATTTCCCCCCATTTTCTCCAAATCGAAAATTAGATTAATATGTTAATTAAAATAAAATAAGTTAAATTAAATTAAAATATAAAATATAATTAACAATTAATTTAAAATATAATTAAATAAATTATAAAATAAACAATAATTAAGATGTGATCTAAAATGTAATTAAATTAAAATTAGATTAACAGAATTATAATAAATAATTAAGAATTTAGAATTAATTGTGATATAAAATATAATTAAATTAAAATTATATTAAAAAATTAGTAATTACAATAAATATTTAAATATTTAGGATTAATTGTGATCTAAAATATAATTAAATAAAAATAAAAATAAAAATTAAAATTTAAGAATTACAATAAATAATTAAGAATTTATAATTAATTGTGATCTAATTGAATTAATACTAGACATTAAAAATTGGGAGATGCTTCTCTATAGTCCACTATGTGGACTGGAGTGTACTGTTGGGCATGTGGGTTCCATCATAGGTCTCGTTTCGATAATCCGAACCGTTAATCTGTAGAACTCGTCGAGTACTTCATACTTGTAAAAAAATCACGTTAATCGGAAATCGGTAGCCCCTTGATCGAAACACATTTTTGTCAATGGTAAATATGATTTTAAAAATAAATTGTTAATAAAAATATTTTCTGATCAAGCGGCTACCAATATTCGAGTAACGTGATTTTTTATAAGCACAGAGTACTCTATGAGTTTTACACATTGCATAGTTCAAATTATCGAAACAGAGCTGTGATGGGCCCCACGGATCCAACAGTACGCTCCAGTCCACACAGTAAACTAGAGAGAAATCTCTCTCTTAAAATTTATATGTATGAAAGATGAGGGAAAATAAAAAAATAAAAAATATAAGATTTGAAAGTATTATAGTCATTTTACATTTATAATTAATGGAGTTAACAGTTATATTTTAGTCTAAAATTATATAATAATATAGGACTATTTTTAAAAGAAAAGGAAGTAAAATACTATCAAATGATATCATAGGGAGATAAAATAAATCTTATTCATAAATTTATTAATTTTTATCATCTAACCACTGAAATTGGTTTGGCCATTGATGACAGTTGCGTTTGATTTTTTGTGCACCCTTATAAGAAACATGTGAATATATAATACGTAGAGACAGTAAATAAGACACCCCCTCAAATCGCTGTATACAAGAGTACTTGGTACTTAGAGACTTGTTTTGGGAGTAGAGAAAAAATTAATTTATTGATATTTTTTGTGAGAGGGTGGGTTTTGTGTTTTTGAGAAGTAAAAAGCATACATTCCAACTTATAATACTTTGTTTATTAAAAAAATAAATAATATGTACATTTATAAATATTTATGAAGAATTCCTTACTTCATGTGGTTGGAATGGATTTTGTCGGTTCAACATTGTATATTCACCACCCAATCAAAATCTGATTTTTTTAAAATTGTTAGGCCAACATCTATCTGTTTGTTATATCAAAACTGTCCAATTTAAATTGAATTGAGTCAAGTTAAACGGGTTGGGCGACCTAACTAAATATTTGCCCAACTATGCTCAGGGGTGTTTTGGGAAGATGATTAAAAGTTTTTTTTTGACTTTTTTTGTGATAGATGGAATTGAGTTAAAAACTACGAAGTAACTTTTAACTCACTTCCCAAAATAGTCCTCATAAATAGGGTAGTGCTATAATAATCAAATTTATATTGATTTTTTTGGTTTTATTAGTTAAAACTGATGATAAATAGTATTTCTCATCATATTTTGTTTATCATATATCATTTTTGGTTAATTGGGACCATCTTTATTTGTTATATAAACATGGGACTAAAGGTATGTACTGCCAGTAGGACCATATATATAATGCATACAAAAATCACATTCTCTCTCTAAATGTGGTCTTCAATCACACAAGGTAAGCAACATGATGGGTTTATTTAGGATAAATTATAAATACATTTTTTGAGATTTACTTAATTATAAAATATCTTTTATGATTTTAGAAATTACATTATATCTTATAATGTTTCTAATTTCATAATAAATAGGTCATTTTATTAATAAACCATCAAGTTAATTAATAGTTTTTAATAACGTTAAAATTTTATTTCAATTAATAATTTAGAAAATTTTATTATTGTATAGGTGAACAATTAGAAATTTCACTTTTTCAGTTAATTTTGTTAAATAAAAAATTCTAACAGGGAGGTATTTGTAATTTTTTAAATCACAGAGAGTAATTCGTATTTTAAGTAAACCTCAATGGTGTATTTGTAATTTATCCATATAATAAATAAAATATGACTATTATATCATTATTACGTATGTAAATACTGAAAACTTATAAATGTAACATGTGTGTGCTCAAAATACGACTTTTTGATGATAATGTAATTAAGATGGGGTAGTAATTGAGAACAATAGGCTTAGCAAGGCCATTGTCTTGGACAGTAAATTTTAACAAAATTTAAGAGTCCTAAAATATTTTATTTTTGTAGTATTAGTATAGGTCAAAATATAAGAGTCCGATTCAGCTTATTTAAGTCCATAATTTTATCTACATTAAGCCATATCACAAAAAAGATTGAATGAATTAAGTATATAAAAGATAATTAGATTATGCGAACTTAATCGTAGGTAAAAATACAATAAGAGTAATGTTTAAACAATATTTTATTGCAATTGATTTACTATTTACTTTTTATTTTGTATTATAACTTTAGATTTTATTTGATGCATTTTTCCTTCTTGTTAATTGAATTTCACTAATTTATAAAACAAGAACAAGTTTTTATCTTTTTGGTATTGTAATAATTTATCTTAATCAATATTGCGTAGTCTAATTCTTTTTATATTTTTAGTCAATTAGATACCTAAAGAAACAACTTAAACAACGGTATAAATGTATTTTTTTTATTCGAACAAATTTAGAATTGGAATTTACATTTAACATTAACTTCTTTTTATATTTTTGCTCAAAAAGATACATAAAGAAATAACTCATGATGTTCTACAGTGATTTCAATATATAAAAATTTAGTGTACAAATACAATATCATTTTACTTTTCAATTTCCAAACCTTGACCTTACCACTTTCAGATCACTTTAAAAAAAATCATCTTGGCTCGAAAGGAATAAAAAAAAATTTAAGAGTGGAACTCGATAGGAATAACTTAAAAAAACAAAACTGTATGTTTATAGGGAGTAACTTGCCTCTAGTCTGAGATCGGATTGAACGATATTGTTCGGTTCATGAGGGCCCACTACG